AGCACATGTAGGATACCCAGGATTGGGATGACTGAGAGTCTCCATAGACGTGGTGAAAGAGATGGCTCCAGGTTGCCCACTAAGTGAGGCCAGGCAGTGTATTCTCTCTTTATTGATTCAAACTGTATCCTCATAAATGAAGGGAAGTTGGACTGGAAGAAGCTAAGTGAGGCTTTAAAACTGGAGGAAAACACATAAGCCTGGGCTGAGTTGATAACACTGCACGGACAGCTGAAGACACAAAGGAGCTGCCAGATGTAATGAAAGTAAAAGAATCAAGAAGCCCAGGGACAAAATGAGACAAAAAACAAGTTGATACATTACCAACAATTATAACAACGAACCCTAGGAATGGTTGCATCACCCATCAACTGTAAAGGAACAGGCTGTCAAAAAACATACAACTAGTCCTGGCCTCAACTGTTCGTTTAGTGGTCGCTCAAAATTAGGATGGCACAGAGAAAGGTGACATGACCATTTTTCACATGACTGTTGCAGCATCCCATAGACACACGTGATCAAAATTCAGACCCTTGGCAACTGGCTCATTTTTATGTCAGTTGCAATGTCCCAAGATCATGTGATCACATTTTGTGATCTGACAAGCAAAAACAATGAGGAAGCCCGATTCACTTAACAGTTGTGCTACTAACTTAACAACTGCAATGATTCACTTAGCAACTGTGGCAAGAAAGGTTGTTAAATGGGGGCAAAACTTACAACTGTCTTAGCAACAAAAAATTTGAGCTCAAAAATGGTCGTAAGTCAAGGAAATAACTGGCTCTTATCAGAAGGGCTTTAAACTAAAATTGAGGGGGGAGGGAGGCAATCTTCAAGACCTTTAAAACCTAATTCGAACCAAAAACCACTAGATAATCAATCATATAAGGATGGGGGGGAGGAAACAGCACAGTGAAGTAGAGAGTGACGGAAACCCCAGATACAAAGTAGGAAATATAAGAACATACCCAAGACCCATAAAGGATTCAAATGCCTAGACACAAACGCTCAAACTTCAGGGAACAAGCACGGTAAACTTGAAGTATTAGTACATGAAGGCACATATAATATAGTTGCCATTACTGAAGCTTGGTAAAATGAAACTTAGGACTGGAATGTGCTGATGGAAAGATACAAACCATTCAAAAGAAACAGACCCAACAAAAATGGTTGTATAATACACTGTGTGCACAATTATTAGGCAAATGTATATTTTGACCATATCATTTTATGCATATTTTCCCACGTCCAAGCTGTATAAACCGTGACCCGTCAAAAGCGCGTTCCACAAAAGCGCGGTCGACGAAATCGCGTATGTGACGTCAT